CTCTCTCTCTCTCTCTCAAATAAATAAATAAAATCTTTAAAAAAGAATTTTAACGGGATAAAGGGAATGTAAAAACTAAGTCTCTCCCAGGCCAGGAAATAGCCTAACCATATCAGAGACAATAAATCATTGGTAAAAATTCCAGTTCTGTTTCATAAGCAAGCAAAGCCTTACATTCCTTTCCTGAGATAAGGAGCCCAAAACCCCATCCAGTTTATACAAGATCTCAGAGCATGCCCATAGCCCCCTTGACAGTTACCTCTGCTTCCTTGAATGTTAAAGTCTTCCATCCTAGGAGGAGCACAAGCTTCAGTAACATAACATACGATGTATGTATAGGCCTGTTTTCTAAGTAAGAGAGTGCAACCTTATACCCACCTTTATATGTGATGACAGATCTTCCCTTTCTGAATATTTGTTCTAACCCTAAATAAAAGGTACCCACTCACCCCTGCTCAGGGATTCACTGCTTTGGAAGTTATTCTTCATGATCTCCTTATTTGCTAAAAACAGTTTCCTTTGTTTGACAACACCACTTTTGGTGTAGTCTCTACCTGTAACTCACCAAGGAGCAAACTCACATGAGCTTGGTTACAGATCCTTTCAGTAAAGTATTATGCAGCCATTAAGATGATTTTATGTTTCTGGACACAGAAATATGTTAATATATTTCCAGTTCTTGTCTTTTTATGTATTTTACTGAGAATTTGGGGTATTTTAACGCAAAGTTGTTAGATACTCTTGGTTGCTCTAGTAAAGTGGTTTTGTCATGTTAGCTTTTGCTTGGTGAATATTTTGTATCTCATATGTGCTTGGGGAAGATTTGGTTTATTAATATCTTGTTTTTGTACAATTGAATTTTATTTTTTTAAGATTTATTTATTTGACAGAGAGACAGCGAGAGAGGGAACACAAGCAGGGGGAGTGGGAGAGGGAAAAGCAGGCTTCCCTCGGAGCAGGGAGCCCAATGCGGGGCTCCATCCCAGGACCCTGGGATCATGACCTGAGCTGAAGGCAGACGCTTAACGACTGAGCCACTCAGGCACCCCTGTACAATTGAATTTTAAATTGTTGCTCAGGTAATTTTTGGAAGAAGACTCATTTATTTATCACATATTGAGGTCAGAGGTTGGTAAGTTAAATGTAATTTAAAATACATATAGTACTAAATTTTACCAAAAAGCTTTGCCATTTTCGAGTGATTTCCTAGTGATTACTGTTCTTCTCTCATGCAACATGCATTATGCATCTGCTACCCCACAAATGAAATGTGCTAGAGGAATCATTCCTGTATAACTATCTAAAATGAAACCAATCATTATTAGAGTTAATTGCTTCCCTAAGAGCACTTCTCTTTGTTTCACTAAGTAAGTTTTGTTTGCTTTGTTCAGACTTAAATGAATTTGTATTTCATCTCAGCGTTCATAAAATGGAAAACATGAGATAATTTTTCTAGGATAATTTCTTTGCTCTTCTCAGTAAAACCCATTATTTATTTAATGTATTCCTATTACCACTGAATTTATCACCACTGAATAATATTTGATCAGAAACATTATTGGGGCTGCCTGGGTGGCTCGGTCATTGGGCGGCTGCCTTTGGCTCAGGTCATGATCCCAGGGTCCTGGGATCGGGCCCCACATCAGCTCCCTGCTCAGCGGTGGGCCTGCTTCTCCCTCCCCCACTCCCCCTGCTTGTGTTCCCTCTCTCACTGCGTCTCTCTCTGTCAAATAAATTTTTAAAAATCTTAAAAAAGAAAGATTTCCCATTGTAAGGGTCCAATTCAGTGACTTTTAGTAGATTTTATAGAGTTGTGTAACTATCATGACAGTCCAGTTTTAGAACATTTCCATTACTGCAGAAAGTCACTTCATGCCTATTTGTCATTAAATTCCTGCTTCCACCCTCTGCTTTCTGTCTCTATAAATTCGCCTTGTGTGGACATTTCATATAAATGTATGCTGATGCAGCTGCTCAGATACACACAAACACACACACTTAAAATTGTTTTCTTTTTTTTTAAAGATTTTATTTATTTATTTGAGAGAGAATGAGAGATAGCACAAGAGGGAAGAGGGTCAGAGGGAGAAGCAGACTCCCTGCTGAGCAGGGAGCCCGATGCGGGACTCGATCCCGGGACTCCAGGATCATGACCCGAGCCGAAGGCAGTCGCTTAACCAACTGAGCCACCCAGGCGCCCAAAATTGTTTTCATTTTTAAGCATGGCTTTCTAGGGGTTGCCTTCCTGTCAGCATAGGTTAATGGACAGTGGTTGTGCTCAAACGTCTTAAGATAGTACGACTTTTCATCTGCCAGTGGATCTGCATGTGGGTAGGGGAGCACATTCAAAGTTCAGGGCATGTTCAAATCTGCACTAGTGTTTACTTTCCTCTCATTCCTTCCATGTCTCCTCTTTGTCTCCATGCACCTCTGAGTTGGCAGTGAACTTGCCAGTCACGACTGCACCCTGAGACTGCTAGAGCTGTTCGTCCTGCCTGCTCACCTGCCGCCTGGAACATCACTTACACTGAGAGCGCAGTGGAGCATGTGTGTTACTCACGACTCCAAAATGAGTGATCTCCCTTTGATCCTGGCAGCAAAGCCACCAGTCTTCATAGTTTGCCCTGCCTGGCCCTGCTCTGCAGAACCTCTGTCCTGCTGAGTGGGTGGATGATGGAGTGGGAATCGTCTTAGGCAAGAATGCCACAGACTGTCATTGTTCTTACTCAACATTTAGCAGTTTTCAAGCATAAATGCTACTTAGGTTGTTGTATTCCTTTGGTTGATTTCCAGAGAACTGAAGGGTCGTCAGTTTCATCCTGCTTTTAATTGGTTTTGGGGGAGAATTGCGTACCCTCTCACTAGTCCATAGCTCGATGTTCTGCCTCTCAGAAGGTATTCTTTTTTTAGTATAGCTAGTCATTTCCCCAGGTATACTTACTGTTAGTCAGGAGACATATGGAATTTTTAAGGAATTAGCTCCTGTGGTTGAGGTGCTGGCATTTAAAAAATCCATAGAGCAGTCCAGCAGATAAGAGTTGATATTAACCTTGAGTCCAAATTCTGCAGGGTAGAAAGCTGGAAATTCAGGTAGAATTCCCATGTTGCTGTCTTGAAGATAATTCCTTTTTCTTCAGGAACTATGTCTTTTCTCTTAAGGACTTCAGTTGTTGGACGAGACCTACTCATATTATGAAGGCTAATCTGCTTTAATCAGTCTGTTGATTTATTTTTTTATTTAATTGTTAATCATCTAAAAAATGGCTTCCCGGCAACATCTAGACCAAACTAGTGTTTGGTGTTTGACAAACACAGGGCTCCATAGCCTAGCCAAGTTGACACATAATTGAATATCACACCTCCCCACTGAGGATTCAGGGTACATTTTTTTTAGTCTAGATGTAGTCTGATTGCTGTCTGCTTCATAGTACGTATCCTAGCTCCAGCTAAACTAGTGTTTCCATAATATGTGTATTTTACATATACATGTAATATGTAAATTTTACATAGTGTATGTGTTTTACATACATGCCCTTCTACACATCCACATCTTTGGTCATGTGTATCTTCAGCTTAGAAAACTGTGTGTCTAAATCTTATCTGTCCTTCTGAAGGCTAGATCACAGACACATATGCATTAATGTCTTTACACACTGTTCACCAGCTCTCCTGAACTACTACTTGTCACCTAAATATGCTGTGTTCTGTCATGTCATTGTGCACAGGAACTTGCACACAAGTTCCTACTGCTTAGAATACCCCTTCCTCTTATTTTCTATGAGGCTTTTATAGCTTCCTCTGGTAGACTTATGTGCTTCTTTTCATTAGACTCTCATTGTCCCGTTGGCTTATTTCTACTACGGCAATGATTGCATTTTGTCATTGTTTGCATATCTGTCCGTTCATGAAACTTTGTTTCCTGAGAGCAGAGGTCACTGCACTGCTCTTTTTCAAAGCTTATCCTCAGCCAAGCCCAAGTATCTGGCCTTGCAGGATAAACTGAATCTTTGTTAAAGTTTTGGGAGTTGTATATTTCTTCTGTAATTTCTCTTTAGAGTAGAATGTAAAGATAATGACTTCTTAGGGGTGAAGCAAATGTGAGTATCAGTGATGAGCCTTGGGTTAGACTCCAAACATATTTGGGCATATTAAATATTTTCATGACTCACTGATAGAAATAGTTTTATTTTTCCATTCTGCGCAAGTTACATAGAATTGTTACATTAAGAAAAGCTGTTTCTGATTAGAAATGATTTCTTTTTGCTTGCATTTGTGTATACTTGTGTTCTAAGAATATCACAGTATCTAAGATTGCTTCGGCTTCTTTCTAGCTAAAATGTAATGGTGATCACTGATGACTAAGTTGTAAACAATTTTTTTTTTGTAAACAATCTTAATGTGATGATAAAATAACTTTTTCCTTTTCCCATTAGATGTTGATCCTCTTTCTTCAGTAGAATCTCCATGGCCTGAACATTTTCTGAAAATTATTTTGAGCAGACTATCTGTTAAATAACAAGATAACCACATCAAGATGGTTGGAAAACTGAAGCAGAACTTACTATTGGCATGTCTGGTGATTAGTTCTGTGACTGTGTTTTACTTGGGCCAACACGCCATGGAATGCCATCACCGAATAGAAGAACGTAGCCAGCCTCTCAAATTGGAGAGCACAAAGACCACTGTGCGAACTGGTCTGGACATCAAAGCCAATAAAACCTTTCCCTATCACAAAGATATGCCTTTAATATTTATTGGAGGTGTGCCTCGGAGTGGAACCACACTCATGAGGGCCATGCTAGATGCACACCCCGATATTCGCTGTGGAGAGGAAACCAGGGTGATTCCCCGAATCCTGGCCCTGAAGCAGATGTGGTCACGGTCAAGTAAAGAGAAAATACGCTTGGATGAGGCTGGTGTCACCGATGAAGTGCTGGATTCTGCCATGCAAGCCTTCCTACTAGAAATTATTGTTAAGCATGGGGAACCAGCTCCTTATTTATGTAATAAAGATCCTTTTGCCCTGAAATCGTTAACTTACCTTGCTAGGTTATTCCCCAATGCCAAATTTCTCCTGATGGTCCGAGATGGCCGGGCATCAGTACATTCAATGATTTCTCGGAAAGTTACTATAGCTGGGTTTGACCTGAACAGCTATAGAGACTGTTTGACCAAGTGGAATCGTGCCATAGAGACCATGTATAACCAGTGTATGGAGGTTGGCTATAAAAAATGCATGTTAGTTCACTATGAACAACTTGTCTTGCATCCTGAACGGTGGATGAGAACACTCTTAAAGTTCCTTCATATTCCGTGGAACCACTCAGTATTACATCATGAGGAGATGATTGGGAAAGCTGGAGGAGTATCTCTGTCAAAGTGAGTAGATGTTATTATTTTTTTTTACCCTATGTTCAGGTAATAAAGTGGTGTGTGTGTGTGTGTGTGTAAACTACAGCTCTTTTTCGGAATAGATATAACTTTATCAATGAGTTTTAAAAAAATTCTCTAGCCAGTTCATTATAGACCCTTTCATTTATTTAATTCATTTGTATATTTATGAATTGTGGTCCTTTTCATTTTTTTGATGGAAGACCCAATTTATAGCAGTGAAAGGTCTTTTTCACAAACCTTAGGCCTTAATGTCCATCATTCAATCTTAGTGACTCCTGATTTCTAATTTCTAGATATTTTTATTAATAAGGATAGTTGGCTTTTGTGTGGATTAAGGTTAATATGAGAAGCATCTCACATGTTGGTAAGCATGTGGTGAATTCTAAGCATTTAGGAATTTTTAGTAATAAAAATAAAGACTAAGTTTATCTAACCCAGTCCTTTCATTTTACAGGTAGGAAGACTGACTCAGAAAGTAAAAACGATTCACTCAAATTTAGATGGAAAGGCCATAATTAGAATCCATGCCTTGGTCTCAATGGGCTAGCGCTGTTTTCTGTGACATTTTATAACATGTAGTACTTCTTTTGTCATCTGATGGATCTTGATTTTTACAAAAGGGTAGAGAACTCCACAATTTAGAAGCTTAATCCATAATCCATACAGGAAGTTCCTTAGATTCAAATACTTTTAAAAATCATTGCATCTTTTCCCCTTTCTTATGAAGTGGTGACTGGGGTGCCCTGACGATCTGACAACGTGATTTGATGATTTATATACCTAGAACAAGGATATAAAAATGAAACTACTGTTAAATTCAGGTAGCATCTCCTTATGGGGAAAAGTTGGGTATAAATAAGTTCTATTTTATTTTTTTCCATTTATAAAAGTGATATGTACCCCCTGTAAAAAAAAAAAAAAGAAAAGATAAAACAGTGTACTTCTCCCTTAGGTACCCTGCTTCCTCCTACCAAGGAATGTCTTCTTGATTTCTTTTTTTCAGTGTATAGAACTTGTACAATGAGTATCGATTCCTGATGTAGATAGTTTGAAAGGAACAGCTGCGTTTCTGCACTTAGCTTACAGGGTATTGATTATAAATTATTAGGTATGATCACTTTACTGGTTCTGGGTTATTTTTATTGATTCAAAGAAAATTATAACCCTGGCTACTGTCGTCATAGTTTTTTGTTCTTTCCAGATAATAGACCATAAATAATTTCTAATCACCTGTATTCCTAGGTAAGCATTTCACTCTATGTGCATGTATGTTGGCCCAGATATTCTGATGCTGGTTCCTTCTAGTAGTATCAAATAAACCTGTTAGACCTCACCCCCCTCCCCCACCCCCAGTCTGTCCAAATAGGGATTAAGGCGATATGCTCAAGGTAAATTTTGGTGGAAATCAGGAAAAGATTATTTTACATATATGTATATATATAATTACTATGTTTAAGGCAAACATGAAGACCGAGGAAATTCATAGAAACTACAAATAGATAGATTTTAGAAGGGGAAGAGACCTTACTTAACATTTAGTATGCAGAATGGAGACCCAGTGAAGTTTTGTGCCTTGTCAAGAATCACACGTGGCAGAACCATGACTAGAACTTGCAGTGCTTATTCCAAGATTCTTGGTATTATATGAGGTTTTTTTTTTTTAATTTTATTTATTTATTTATTTATAAAGATTTTTATTTATTTGACAGAGAGAGACACAGCGAGAGAGAGAACACAAGCAGGGGGAGCGGGAGAGGGAGAAGCAGGCTTCCTGCGGAGCAGGGAGCCCGATGCGGGGCTTGATCCCAGGACCCTGGAATCGACCTGAGCCTATTTATTTTTTGACAGAGAGACAGCGAGAGAGGGAACGCAAGCAGGGGGAATGGGAGAGGGAGAAGCAAGCCTCCCTGTGAGCAGGGAGCCTGATGCCGGGCTCGGGACCCTGGGATCATGACCTGAGCCGAAGGCAGCCACTTAATGACTGAGCCACCCAGGTGCCCCATATAAGTTTTAATTAAAGCATACCTATAATTAAATGCACAGATATTCAGTGTACAATTTGATGAATGTCTACATCTGTATACACCTGTATAATCACCATCCATATAAAAATATAGAAAATTACCAGCACCCAGGAAGCTCCTTTATGCTTCTTCTTGGTTAACATGTTCCTCAACCCAAAAGTAACCACTGTTCAACCTCTATCACCAGAGGGGCTATGATGTCATATATAAAGTTCACAAACAGTCTTGCTTGTTTTTGAACTCATATAAATGCAAGCATGCCTATTTATTATTTTTTGCCTGGTTACTTCCATTTAACATTAGATTTACCCATCACATTGTAAAGAGCAGCAGTTGATTCTTTTTCATTACTATGTAATATTCCAGCGTATAAATATAACACAGTTTATCCTTTGTTCCATTGGTGGACATTTGATGTTTCCAGTTTGGGGCTATTATGGATAAAATTGCTAAGATCATTCCTGTACATTACTATTGGTGAACATAGCATTAATTTCTCTTGGGTATATACCAATGAGTGGAATCGCTGGATCGTAAGATATATCTATATCTCTATATGTATATGTCCTTAACGGATACTTGTTTTCCACAGTGTCCGTACCATTAGTGTATGGCTATACTATACAGGAATGTGTTCTAGTTACTTTGCATCTTTGCCAACACTTGGTATTGAGTCCTTTTAATTTTAGGGCAGGTACAAGTATTTTTTTAAACCTAAAAACAAAACAGAATAACAACATTGAACTTTTTTGAAACAAATCTTCCCAGAATTCCAATATAAAACAGATAAAAACAGAGCTACATTGGTTGAGGCAGGTCTAATCTAGGCTGTACTGCCTCTTTTAAGACTGAGTCCCTGCTCTCAAAAAGAGCTAACTGGGAGATAAGGCAGAGGCATAGAATTATTCCATTAGTAAGTACCAAGTTGTAAATATTCCATGTTAGTTGAGAGGTCATGACCATAAGGAATTCATAGCCCAGAGTCAGTGTGTGTTTTGCTTTTCTATAAATATTTTTATTCTGGGAAAATTGTTTAAAATAAGTATTTTAATACTTATTGTGGTATTATTTAGTACTAAAATACTGAAAATATTTAGGCAGTTTTGAAGGCTTGCAGATATCACCAGATGGCTCAGGAACATAGGTAGAAATTGTTGGAAGATGGTGATAAGGAAAGCTTTCACAGTTCTACCTGCCCTATTTTGTTAACTATGAAAATTAAGCTTTTTTTGCTTTGCTTAGGAATTTCCAGTTATTTTCAGTCAGAGAGGTACCTCTTGCCTCCCTGGTCAGTTCCAGTTCCAGTAGGAGCAAAAGGTAATCACCTGCTAGCATATATAAGAGTTCCTTTCTGAAAGAATTTGGTGGAAGAAAGCATTCTTTCATTCTGGGGTGCTTCAGGGAATCTTCATAAGAGACTACTGTATCTAAGCTAAGCTTTTCTAAAAACTGAAAATAAAAGCAAAGTTTTTAATGAGTGGGGAAGGGATGAAAACAGATTGCTTTGGGTGGCTGATAAGTTTAGTTCTGCATTAAGGTACAACTGTAGAGTTTTAGGTACACTATTTATCCTTGATGTTTTTAGGTAGTCGTTTCAAGTTCAAGTAGTATAACTAGTTTCTCCAGTGATTGAAGTTGTAACTTTGATGTTTTGAATACTATGTTCTGTTTTAACAAATTACTCACACATACTGTTCGACTTCGTGTTAAATTGAGCTGTAGTCTTGAATAAGATGGCTCCAAAAATGATACAGAACTCACTGATCTCTTTATTTCTTACATACTAATAGAGTAGAAAAGATTGAAGCATTTCTAAATGTCTTTTTGCCTTTATCTTTCAAGAAATGTTTGTGTAGAAAGGTGGGGGGGGTGCATTTTAAGGAAAATACCTTACACAAATAGGTGGATTCTAGTAGAATTCTCCAAGTGATTGAATATGCAGTAGGATTTTGCTGATTAGAGAATGGTATCTACTGCCTGCCTGCTTCTCAAATAATTGGAGTAGGAAATGGAAATAAAGTTTGAGGCTATTTATATTAACTTTGTCTCGTGAATTGTGGAATTTTTGTGGAATTTCAGTCATTTCCATCTGGGTACATTCAGGAAATTACTAGTGTATACAGCATTGTTCCTGCTTTTAAACTTATTAAGGATACGATGAAATTATCTGGAACAAATAAAAATCATCAGTAACAATAACAAAAGAGTGCACCAAGGTATACTTAAGGATGACTAAAATAAAAAAGTAACCTAGGATCAGTAAACAAGTTTACTACGTGAAAAGAGCAAAGCCAGAAAAACAAAACACTATAATGGTAACCCTTAAACAGAAGCAAGTATAAGAATCACAACTACAATTCAGAGAGAAGTAATCTGCCCTTGGGGCAGACAAAAGATATACAACTATTAAGCACAAATAGGTTAGAAGGAAAAATATAGTAGCAGTGGCAAGGTACAAGAGAACAAATAAGAATACAGTTGACACTCGGAAGCTTCTGGTAAGTAAAGCAGAGAAAACTAGAAATCAGATCCAGAACAAAGAAAGTATTAAATAACAAAAATACAACTGAGTAAATTTTAACGATCTAATTGGCTTTATTCATTCATGAATCGGGCAGTGTCCCATCTAGCAAGTAGTGGGGGAGCCCCAAAGGACTACAGAAAAGGGAAGGTTTTTAAAGGTAGAGAGCTAGTGGAAAAAAAGGAAATTATTAGGAAAGAAACCATTGTTTTAGGTAAGGTTGCCCTCCTAAGGGGAATGGCTGGGGTCTATCAATAAATTTGCTAGTGCTGACCAGGAAATTCCCATGTTGACTCGTTAAAGGTTATATTTCAAGGGGTGTGAAACTGCAGTTAGATTAGGTATTAAGACTTTTTTTTAGGGGGACACCTGGGTGGCTTAGTTGGTTAAGCGACTGCCTTCGGCTCAAGTCGTGATCCTGGAGTCCTGGGATCGAGTCC